GCTGCCCCTCCTGGAAGTGTGTTCATACACTAGTCCTTCGGGACTTCTCCCTGCTTCGCTCCGTATCGGAGCAACAGGCTCCATCAGCTGATCGCTCCCCCCCATGGGAGGAGCGACGCTCAAACGTCCTCCCTCCTCACACTCGATGCTGGCAGGCGGAGTTAAAACAGCACGCTCCGCCTCCACTGGTGGGTCTGTCGCTGCGGGCTGAGCTGCGCATGCGCGCTCAAAACACTCTCTAGCCTCGGTATCGGAGCTAACCGCTTGGCGTGCCGGGAGGCTGCCGATATCGGCTGGAGCCCGTCTTTGGACCTCTGCCTGCCGATGTGTGGGTACCAAGCGAGGCACGGCTGTTTCTGGAGCTGAGGCAACTTCGTCAGCCATTGAAAGAGGCTGGCTGGGCGACAAAATCGGCATAGGAGGGGTAAGTCTAAATGGCCTCGCTTCCCCCTCGTGCCTCTCCTGCGCCGGAGTGGCTGCAACATTTTTCTCTGCCACTAGAGGACCCATAGCATTGTCCTTCGGCTTCGATGAAGGGGCTTTTGAAAGATGAGCTGCCGCTCCCTCATGTGCGGCCGATTTCTTACCCACGGCCACTCGGCCATCTTGGGAAGCTTTGTCCTTGATTTTTTTAACTTTCTTCTTAATTAACGTCCCAGAGCTTGCCTCTGGCGGATCGATCTTAATTGGATCTGAAGAAGGCAAGAGTGCTCTCTCATAAAGAGCTGCCTTCAGTCTCAAGATCCTGTTCTTCCTGGTCTGTGGAGTGAAAGCTTGGCAGACCGAACAGGATTGATACAAGTGAGCTTCACCAAGGCAGGCGAGGCAAAGCTCATGGCCATCATTGTCCGGCAAAATGTTAGGACATTTTATGCATTTTTTAAAAGAACTCGTTGCCATGATTGGCAAGAAGCAGGTAATATACTCAAGTCTTTAATCACTAATCTTGCTCGCTAGAGAAAAAAGGTTCTCCGCTGCTTTGTTCTAGCGCGGATGAAGAGAACTGACGGTTGGCCCCGCCCACGGGCTATATATACTAGGGGAGGGGGGCGTGGCCTATCTAACTGTCATTCTTTTAATTTGAAAGGTTCCGAATGCTGCTGCACGAGCGCAGAGAATATCAATTGTATGCTTCGCAGGGACTACGTAAGGAAATTGAAAGAGTACAAAACTGGAATATAAAAAATAGTAAAAAATTATTTAGCAGACTATATGCTCCAGGGTTATATTATTCATTATTATTATTATTATTATTATTATTATTATTATTATTATGAATAATCTTTATTAGAATTTATAGTTAAAACAAGAATATTAAAATGAAAGCAATCAAACAATAGAATAGCTCACCTACGGATGTGAGAGCTGGACATTAGGGAAGGCTGAGCGAAGGAAGATCGATGCTTTTGAGCTGTGGTGTTGGAGGAAAGTTCTGAGAGTGCCTTGGACTGCGAGAAGATCCAACCAGTCCATCCTCCAGGAAATAAAGCCCGACGGCTCACTGGAGGGAAAGATACTAGAGACAAAGTTGAAGTACTTTGGCCACATCATGAGGAGACAGGAAAGCCTAGAGAAGACAATTATGCTGGGGAAAGTGGAAGGCAAAAGGAAGAGGGGCCAACCAAGGGCAAGATGGATGGATGGCATCCTTGAAGTGACTGGACTGACCTTGAAGGAGCTGGGGGTGGTGACGGCCGACAGGGAGCTCTGGTGCGGGCTGGTCCATGAGGTCACGAAGAGTCGGAGACGACTGAACGAATGAACGCTATAAAAATAAAATAATAGATATATTGGCAATAAAAGTGAAAAAAACGGACTGGAAAAAAAGTCACTGAATACCTTAAACAAAGAAACAAAAAGATTTTCATCTAGTAAAAAGGAAATAGACAAGAAAAAAAGGAAGAGCATAAAAAAGGAGGGAGAGAAGATAAAAAGAAGGAGAAGGAGACGAAGGAGAGAAGAAGAGAAGAAAGGAAAAGGAAAGACCTCAGGAAGCCAAAATCTCCAGGGTTATATTATTGAAAGGAAAAATAAGCAGAGGTTGCTTGCCTGTAACCATGTTTCTCCGAGTGGTCACCTGTGAAATTCGCACATATGGTATTTCCTGTGCCTGCGCAGGCACCATCTCTGCAGCGGTCACTAGTGGCGGTGCTTGCGCGAGCTCCTCCAAGGCGGTTTGCCTAACTGTTTTTTCTAATGGATTAGGCCTTTCCAGACCTTTTTGGCGGCCCGAAACCATAGTGGAAGACTTGGCCTTCTTTGGCTTGTGCTTGCCTGTCTCAAGGAAAGGCCCTATGGGATTTGGAGGAGGAGGAGCAGCAGCAGCAGCGGGTAAGGATGCCTCTGTAGACATTGCAGTAGATGCCTGTTTAATCTGTCTAAGGGAGGCATGAGGGCCTTTTCATAGAGGAGCACCTTAAGGCGTGATTCTCTATGTTTTCGAGCTTGGAAGATGAAGGAGAGACATATTGTGCAGGAATGTGCTGCATGGCCTTCTCCAAGGTAATAAGACATTTGAGTCAGGGAATTTTTCCCCACATGACGTGCATTTTTTAAAAGGTCAACATATGGACAGGAAAATTAGACAGACCGGGTCCGGAGTGTAGAAGTCAGCAGGCAGACAAACCGTCCGAGTCAGGACAAGGGAAGACAGCAAATCAAAGAACAGTCCAAGTCAGGGATGGAGAATTTAACAGTTTGAATATCAGCCCGAGTCAAAACCAGTAGTGGCCAAATAACCTAAACAGTGAAGATCGAGAATTCCCAACTGCCACATGAGTGGTGGTTAAAAGGAACTCAGGTAGCCTGCCACTGGCTATATATATTCTATGGGGAGAGTGGGCGGAGCTTTCGAGAAGGTTCTGAAGCTGCCTCTGCAGGCGCAGGAAATACCATATGTATTTCACAGTTGAGCACGATGGAGAAATATATAAACAGCTATCCTATGGTCTCCAATTGGGTCTCAAAATGGAAAGAACTGATAGCCAAAGTGGAGGGAAAAAGAAAATACAAGGAACTTAATCCAACCATCTCCATGATCCAACAAATGGAATATAAGCAGAAATTGAATCACAACTGTTCCCAGAGGAAGGAGTGGTGAAGAAAAAATTAATAATAATAATTACAATAACAATAATGAGATAGGTATAAGTAGGAGACTAAAAGGGAATTAGAAAGGAGTAGAAATTGAGCTATACCAGAAGAGTATGTAATCTCTTTTCCTTGTACTGGTTGATTTTGTTTCTTTAATCCTTCTGTAATATAGTGGTGACAGTTATACTCTATTTATAAAGGTTTCCCTTTGACATGAAGTCTAGTTGCATCTGACTCCATTTCTAAGCTGAAGAGCCGGCGTTGTCTATACACACCTCCAAGGTAATGGGGCTAGCATGACTGCATGGAGCGCCATTACCTTCCCGCCAAGGCGGTACCTATTGCTCTACTCACACTTGCTTCTGCTAGGCTGCCAGAAGCTGTGGCTGACAGCAGGAGCTCACCCCGTCCTGTGGATTTGAACCACCAACCTTCTGGTTAGCAAGTTCAGCAGGTCAGCAGTTTAACCCACTGTGCCATCGCAGCCACATATACCACTCTACTTATACAATCCAATAAAAATATTAAATATAAAGAAACCATCCTGCTGTGAAAAGAAATCTTCTGGGCTTAAAATGGTCCCGAGAGGCCCCCAAAGAGGGCAAAAATGCCCTGCAGTCCCTGAAGGGTCTTTCAGGGCAAAAGGATTTTTTTTTCTTTTTAGAGTGGGAAGCTTCAAGGCCCCTCGTTTCAAGTCCCCACACCTGTTATACGAGGGGCTGCTGATAAGTCTTTGGCTTTATCCAGAAAGAAACGAGATAGGAAGATGAAATTTCACATTTATTCCACATACTCTCCACTGATATCAACACATTTCTTACATTGGTATTCCAAGTTCTGTAAGCCTTGCAAAAAGAAGGATTTGGGTTGTGCCTCAAACCAGTCATCTATAGCAGCCACGGCATCAGAAATGGCGTGAAATTTGGTACCCTTGAGGTGTTTCTTCAGGTTTGGAAACAGATGATAGTCGGAGGGAGCTAGATCCAGTGAATAAGGTGGGTGGTCAACCAGCTGGAAGTCTAGCTCCACCAGTTTTGCCATGGTCACTTGTGCAGTGTGAGCGGAGGCGTTGTCTTGCAGGAACAAGATTCCTTTGGACAGCTTGCCGTGCCTTTTGGCCTTCAGAGCTGCCTTCAATTGGTCCAAAAGTTCAATGTAATACCTTGCATTGATGATAGAATCATTTTGAAGGTAGTCCACTAGCAGCACACCCTCCTTATTCCCAGAACACAGACACCATCACCTTTAGTGGCTGATTTTTGCACCCTGAGCTTCTTTGGACTAGGAGAACCACTGTGCCTCCGCTCTTTTGACTGCTTCTTGGTTTCAGGGTTATACAAATAAATCCAGGTCTTATCTATAGTGACCAGTCAATCCAGGAAGTTCTTATCGGTCCGGAAATGCTGACAAATGGACCGGGACGTTTTCACTCACATGCTTTTCTGATCTGTTGTCACACATTTGGGGACCCACTTTGCAGAGAGCTTCTTCATGTTCAAATGTTCATGGATAATGACACGAACACATTCACGAGAAATCCCCATGATGTCTGCTATTTCTTTAGCTGAAATTTGCCGATTCTCCAATATGAGTTTGTGCGCAGCACTGATGATCTCCGGAACAAAAGCCATTCTCGGTCGTTCAGGACGTTCCTCATCTTTGGTGCTGAAGTGGCCCATTTTAAATTTGGCAACCCAGTTCTTAACTGCAGAATATGAAGGGCATTGATCCCCCAATGTATGAGACACATAAGGCTTTCATGTGATGTAACATTTGTTACCATAGAAACAAAAAAAGAACACAAAGCCAAAGACTTATCAGCAGCCCCTCGTAAAGCAGCAGAGAGAAGTGCTTCATTTCTTGATAACCACCGAGTAACGTATGCATGAAATGTAGTGATCACTTACTTAAACTGGAGAAACTATTTTCTTCAGAATCGTCCTCCAGGTAATCGAAATCAAAAGACACATGTGGGTTCTGTTGATGAATACACAACTTCAGTATACAGCGCCATTTCCCAAAAGACCTGTAAGCCCCTCTTGGGTTTAATACCAACCTTCTGTTTCAGCAAACGGCACCATGATCCCTTCTTCTCCTTTGCAAGGGTCACAACCACCTCATTGTCTCGAAGCACACAACTGGATTTTTCCTCAACTATTGTTTCTTTCAGTTCCAGATCAGCCAAATAAAACTTGTCTTCCACAGAACCACTAAATAGGTTGACAATTATTAGCTTATCACACAGAGATAAAAATCACATTCTAAATTTGTGCTAATATGTGTTTCTTTACCTGAAAATTACCCTCTGTGTAAAAAACTTGCAGTTGTGACGAGTGATGTTTTGCACTTTTATCTTCAGGACAACAACATCCTGTTTTTCAAACCACTTTATTGCTGGATGCAAGCTGGAGTTTTAAAAAATGATAGTTACATCTCATGTGATTTTAAAATACAAATTGGAGGCTTATTTTAATGACCTCTCAGGGTTCCTCTACAGTCCAATGTCCCTGAATGCAGACAGTCAGGATTCTTTCCAACTCCATAATCCCGAGATTTCAGTAAGAAGACATTGTCATGAAATATGATGTATGGTTTGAATGGAATTGTATGAAAGATGTATGGTTGGGGTCTATATATTCTGAACATACCATCCTAAGATTGAGGCCTGGAAAACTACAAGAAGATCAAGAATTCATGGGCTGTAATTAAAAGTTATTGAACTGCTGACATTGATGACCAGAGACAAATTATTAACTGTTGAACTTTTGGGGGGAAACAACGCATTTACATTATCAGAGACAATGGCTCTTTAAGTTAAGGAAATGTTTACAAGGTTCCTTATGTTAAGCAGGAAATGTTTACAAGGTTCCTTATGTTGGCTCCTCACCAACACTAATTAAGGAGAGTCAACATCTCCCAGGAACTGAGATGAAGCCAGGCTGTTTCAGGTTGGAAAAATATCTATCGTTCATTTACAACTTTGGAACAACAACAGCAAGAAATATTGCTATATGAGACCTTCTAATAGTCCAAAATTGTGGCAGACCAGAGGGTTCTGGCCCACCTACTATGCTCTTCTCCATAGAAGGAGAGAGATTGTGTACCTTTGGAGAGTGTCAGGTCTGCTATGGGAAAGCAGGATTCTGGACACTTGTTTCTTTCTCAAGGGAAGAAAAAGGAGTGTGATTTTGGAGTCATGATACATTTGCAGGGAATAAATTTCTGCTGTAAGGAAAATCGAGATCTGATCCTTCGCATTGTTCTTACAGAAAGAGGATGTGTTTTGGCATTTTGGAAGTTTTGGAACTCTGCGTTGGCAGGCTGCAGAGAAAGCAGGGTCCAGCCTAAGTAAGGAGGGAGAAAGGATATGGCAATATTTGGATGCATGAGGATGAATGACTGTAGTGTGAATGCTGAGTAAAAATGTTTGTTTGTTTGTTAGCCAATGTAACTGTAGGTTTTTTGTGAATTCAATGTAGTTACACAGAATCTGTATGTCTGTATGTTAAATGTCATTCTTTATGCAAAAGTTCTGATAGAAAGGGGGGCAGGGGACAGTTCCATCTTGTCTCCTGCATATGTCATCAGTTGGGGACCCCTCCCCCAGGACCAACCGCTGCTCTGGGCCAGAGTGAAGGGTGGGGCAGGGGACAGTTCCATCTTGTCTCCTGCATATTTCATCAGTTGGGGACCTCTCTCCCCAGCACCAACTGCCGCTCTGGGCCAGAGTGAAGAGAGGGAGGGGACAGTTTCATCTTGTCTCCTGCATATGTCATCAGTTTGGAACCCCTCCCTCAGAACCAACTATTGCTCTGGGCCAGAGTGAAGAGCGAGGGGGGCAGGGGACAGTTCCATCTTGTCTCCTGCATATGTCATCAGTTGGGGACCCCTCCCCCAGCACCAACTGCTGCTGTGGGCCAGAGTAAAGAGGGGGGCAGGGATAGTTCCATCTTGTCTCCTGCATATGTCATCAGTTCGGAACCCCTCCCCCAGAACCAACTGCTGCTCTGGGCCAGAGGGAAGAGAGAGGGGGCCAGGGGACTGTTCCACCTTGTCTCCTGTGCAATGCTAATAATATAATATAATGTAATGTAATGTAATATATTGTATATACATATATTATTTATATATATTATATATATTTATATATATTATTTATAATATTTATAATATTATAATGTAATACAATATAATACTAATACTTGCTCCTGACACGATAAATACTAATACTAATAATATGGTATTATAATAATATATTTTATATTACATGTAATATTACTAATAATATTACAATATAATGGTATAGTACAATATAGTAATATTTAATACTGATATTGTACTATGCTAATAATATAATGTATTGTATGTATATATATCTTGTAAGCCACTCTGAGTGCCCTTCGAGGTGAGAAGGGCGGCATTCAAATGTCACAAATAAATAAATAAATAAATAAACCTTCTCAAACTGGAAAAATGCAATAAAAAGAACCTATGCTTTAAAGTTATTGAAAAGTTATTCATAACACCATCAAGTTATATCTGAGGCAGTATTTCTACAAAACCTGACAATAACAGCTGATTGCAAGCAACCTTCCAATAAAATGGGCTTTAGGCTTTATTTTAACCAGGAATTGGTACTAAATGAGGTTCACCAGAGACTGATTCTTTGTGAATCTCCCTCCCCCATCCAGGGATATAATTCTGAAATAATGTAAAGTTGGCATTTGGCTATGGGAGAACAGAACTAAAAAAAATTGAGATTTGTCCTAAGCCTTAAGATACTGCAGGCTATAGATATAGTATTTTATTTATGTGCTGCATTTAGAATAGATAAATAAAATCCAAATACCATGCATCAGCAGGTTGAAGAGAGTCATGTCCTTCCTCATGTTGAAGCATTCCATCTAAATGGAATACAACGAATTAACAAGGAATAAAATAAATTTTAAAAACAAAACAGAATAAACATTGCCATATATACTGGCTATATATACTCTATGGAAGTGGTTCTCAACCTTCCTAATGCCGCGACCCCTTAATACAGTTCCTTAAGTATTTTCATTGCTACTTCGTAACTAAATTTGCTACTGTTATGAATTGTAATGTAAATATTTGATATGCAGAATGTATTTTGATTCACTGAACAAAATTGGCAGAAAGACCCGATACGCCCAAATTTGAGTAATGGTGGGGTTTTGGGGGGGGGGGGGGGGTTGATTTTGTCATTTGGGAGTTGTAGTTGTGGGATTTATAGTTCACCTACAATCAAAGAGCATTCTGAACTCCAACAATGGAATTGAACCAAACCACTGGGTTTGGTTGGCATTGGCCTTGAGTTTGGGATTTGTAGTTCATCTACATCCATAGAGCACTGAGGACACAAACAATGATGGATCTGGACCAAACTTGGGACAAATACTCAATATGCACAAATGTGAAGACTGGTGGAGTTTGGGGGAAATAGTCCTTGACATTTGGGAGCTTTAGTTGTTGGGATTTATAGTTCACCTACAATCGAAGAGCATTCTGGACCCCAGCAACAATAGAATTGAGCCAAGCTTCCCGCACAGAACCCCCATGACCAACAGAAAATACTGTGTTTTCTGATGATCTTTGCCGACCGCTCTGACACCCCCCTCATGAGCCCCCAGGGGTCCTGACCCCCAGGTTGAGAAATGCTGCTCTATGGGAGGAGAGGGCAGGGCTACCGCCATTTTGAAATGAAAGACCTTTCTAGAAGATTCCAAAGCTGCCTGAGCAGGCGCAGGAAATACCATGTGTATGTATTTCACAGTTGACCACGTTGACAAAAAATAAATTATATTATAGCAAAAGCCTTTTATAGAGGAACAACAAACATGAAAAACGGCTCCCTCATATAGCAGTTACTAGAAACCAGAGCTACTTTTAGTCCAGTGCTTACAAACAGGAATAGTTACTAATATATAGATTTAGCTACCTTTGTTTCTATATTTTGCTTATAGAGCTGTATCCATGTTTAGATGTAGTGCCATACAGTAATAAGGTGTAATACAGTTCAGAGAAAGCTAAACTGCTGCAGTTTTAGACAAAGAAAAGTAAGGTCAGATTTAAAAATGTGTTCTATTAGCTCTTTATATGAATCCTTCCTGATTATGATTGGAGTTGTTTTCATTTTATATCTTATCTTTCAAAATAACAATCTTTCCAAGGCAGCATACTTACTACAATGGTTTGGCAAAGTTCCTTGAGAGTAGCTTTCCTCGATAATAACAGTATCTTTCCCTTTTGTATTTTCTACACTGGGCAGGATCTGCTCCTCAGTGGTCTGTGAGTTGGAAATAGTCTGGTCAAAGATGCTGAGTGAAACAGATGTGGCCTGCTCACTGGATTCAGCCTTCAGAGGATGGTTTCTGCAAAAGGAAAGAGGAAAGAAGCACAGCAGGTTTTGCAAGAATATAGGTTTTTCATCTTGTTCCTTGGAAGCTAAACCTGCATCTCTACCCAGCAGAAGAACAAGCTACTAACTTATAATTGGGTCTTGCACACATGCCGACCCCTTTATAGAATGTTTCAGAGCTGAGCACTGATGACCCCACCCTGTAAAAAGTAAGGACCCTGCGAATATCCAGGGTGCAAAAAGAGGGATGCAGATGAGGGGACTACATCTCAATGAAGAGTAATTTTTGGTGGGAAAGCTGGGTCAAAATGGAGGACCATCTTGTCACTATGAAATGCTGCATAAGGAAAGTTTACTGTTCCTTATGGAAGATGGTCTTCACCAGGGGTCCTTAAACTAAGGCCCGGGGCCCGGATACGACCCTCCAAGGTCATTTACCTGGGCCTCGCTCAGGGTTAACCTACGTCTGAAACGACTTAAAAGGACACAACAACAACAACAACAACAACAACAACAATCRTATCTCATCAGTCAAAAGCATTGAAATACTAATAAGTTTATATTTGTTAACATTGTTCTTCATTTTAATTATTGTATTGTGTATAAGATATGTGCAGTGTGCATAGGAATTTATTCAGGTTTTTTTTCAAATTATAATCTGGCCTTCCAACATTTTGAGGGACTGTGACCTGGCCCTCTGTTTAAAAAATGTGTGGACTCCTGGTCTTGAGAGTCCCCTTTGGGGTGAGAAGGGCYGCATATAAATGTCATAAATAAATAATAAATAAATGATGCAAGGCACAGAGACCACAAAGAAGAAAGCAGATGTAGGCTCAAATATCACACCAAGCTCAAGTTAAGCCATCCTTACCCTCCCCCAGCATAAGCTCATTGTAGGATGGAGACTTAGGTCAATCATGCCTTGTGTAATTTCTGCACATGTATGCCACTAACTGGARTATCTGACCAGAAAAAAAAAAAAACAAAGAATGCCTACATGCAACATAGAATTGCTTCTTAATTTCAAGTGCACTCCAATCCTAACCAGCTGCAAAGTTTACAGATCCAAAATATCATTCATTGAAAAAAGGCCATTCCCTTACAATGCAGGCATGTCTTTTTTCTCAAAGGCTGTTTCTGCTTCTCTAAACAACTTCTGGAGTTCACATATGTGCTCAGGATTATCGACCCCAAAACCAGTAGATAGGATTTCAGAGCGAATATTGTATTCATTTATAGATGTTTTCAGATCTAGAAGTTTGGTGACTCGAACCTAGAAATAAAGTTATGTATCAGTTACATTTGCTTTAACACCAGTGGTAACCACCACAACTCTGCTGTATCATATTGTCACATTATTATTATTATTATTATTATTATTATTATTATTATTATTAACAACTTTATTTGTACCCCGCTAGCATCTCTCGAAGGACTCGATGCGGCTTACAAAGGCCAAGGCCTCAAAAACACAACATAACAGTACACAACCTAAAGCAAATTAAAAACAGTTAAAGCAATATTAAAACAACAGCAATAAAACAATACACTTTCCTCTATCCTGTCCCTCACCCTATGACCATAACAATAAACTGAACTGGCTTATCATGGAAACAACTCACACGTTATTCATTAATAAAAATGTGGAATTTTAAATAATAATAACAACAACTTTATTTTTATACCCCGCCTCCATCTCCCGAAGGAACTTGGGGTGGCTTAAACGTGGGACAAAATGTCCACAAGACATCAAAGCAAAAACAATTCATTAAAACAAAAAACACAATAAATATAAAACATAGCAATCAGACAGTACACAACAAAAAACCAATAGCCAGAATTACTAAGATGGGCATGATCAGGCTATAAAAAGGACCGGGTATGGGATAGTGCAAAACAGCGTAGTATAGGCCAGGGAATTGGAGGAAGTGCAGAAGTTTTCAGGTCCCTACAAAAGGAGGACAGTGTAGGGGCTTGCCTAATCTCCCTGGGGAGGGTGTTCCGGAGTTGGGGGGGCCACCAGAGAAGTCTCTCTCCCTCGTCACCACCATCCGTGCTTGTGATGGTTGTGGGAGCGAGAGGAGGGCCTCCCCAGTGAATCTTTAAAGACTGTGCCGATTCATAGGGGAGATGCGGTCACGAAGATAGGTGGGCCCCGAACTGTTTAGGGCTTTGTAGATCATAACCTGCACCTTGAATTGGGACCGGAAACTTATCAGCAGCCAGTGGCGCTGCTTTAGTAGGGGTGTCTTGCGTTCCCTATAATTAGATCCAGTTAATAAATAATAATAAATCTTTATTTGTATCACACCACCATATCCCCAAAGGGATACAGGGTGGATCACAGAAGCACTCCAAGTGCCACATGCAGACAACAAGTATAAATAAGTATAAATACAACACGTAAGTTAGAGGCCTGGCTGCCAACCTTTTCACTAATTGCAGTTTCCGGGCCTTCTTCAAAGGCAGCCCCACACAGAGTGGGTTGAGGTAATCCAATCTGGATGCAACCAAGGCATGGACCACTGTGGCCATGTCAGGCTGGCGCACAAGCTTTAACGCTGATGCTTGATGCACTGCCGACACTTGGGTATCAACCATCAGCGTTGAATCCAGGAGGACTCCCAGTGAGTATAACTCCGTTGAGCACAGGTTGCCACCCTATACTCCAGTCGGTCTCATGACTGATCAGGAGGACCTCTGTCTTGTCTGGATTAAGCTTCAGCTTGTTAGCCTCATCTGGTACATCACTGATGGCAGGTGGGCACTGGTCCAAGATCGGGGGGGGGGGGGGGGGGGGGTCTTGGAATTCGGTGGAAAGGAGTAGTAGAGTTGTGTGTCATCTGTGTACAGATGGCACCAAACTCCAAAATTCCGGATGACCTCACCCAGCATTTTCATGTAGAAGTTAAAAAGCATGGGAGATAGAATGGAACCTTGTGGGACCCCAGGGGTCTGAGCAGGTGTCTCCCAGCTACACCAACTGGGTTCAATCCTCCAGAAAGGAGTGGAGCCACTGCAAAGCAATGCCCCTGAGACCCATTGTGGAGAGCCACCCCAGGAGGATACTAGGTCGATGGTACTGAAAGCCACTGAGATATCCAAGAGAACCAACGACACACTCCCCCTGTCATCTGCTAAGGCGACCAAAGCCGTCTCCGTACTGTGACCAGGCCTAAAACCATCCTGCGATGGATCAAGATAATCGGTTTCATCCAAGTATCCCTAAATGCTTCTTAAAAGCTGAACTATCAACTGCAGAAAGCATTTCGTGCCAATAGTGATAATTTTTAAAATGAGAATTTCAAGTACAGTAATGGTGTGATTATAATTATTATGTCCCAGGTAGAGACCTGATGTTGCAGACACAAAGCCAGAGACAACTGATTTCACTGTTAGTCAGAAATAACAAGGAAGATGGAAGAAGTCATCACATTATTGATCTGTTACTATCTTCATAGGTAGTATCTACATAAGATTTGGAAGAAAATTAGATGGAACATTTAATAAGCTATCTCTAGTCCTCATTATGGAGAAATGAACTCAAAGATGAATGAAAAACAATCAGGGAAGTTGAATTACATACCACTGGATCCACCCAAATTGTATTGTTTAGGGCAAGTACTATTTTTGCTTCATGTGGTTGTCCTTTGATCTTGTGGTTTATGTATCTATTCACCTAAGCCAAAACAACAACACGGTTCTCAGAGGACAAGGGTAGATTCTCACACTTTTATATCTCAAAACGGTTGCCAGTTTCCAAGTTTGCAGCTACAAATCCACCGCAAATTTGAAGGAAACTGTATGAACATGTAATAATATGGCACAGTTATGGTAGCAATTGAAAAAAATTACTCGTTTCCACATCAAACCACCTTGCAATGATCTTGGAGTCCTTTTATTATTGGTCAAAATGATGCTACATTTTTCTTCGGATCCAAGTTGAACTAATCTGGGAATGGGTTGTTATAAGTCTTCCAGGCTATATGATGTTCCAGAAGCATTCTCTCCTGATGTTTCGCCTACAGCTATGGCAGGCATCCTCAGAGGTTGTGGGGTCTGTTGGAACTAGGAAAATGGGATTTATAGATCTGTGGAATGTCCAGGGTAGGGGAAAGAACTCTTGTCTGTTGGAGGTAGGTGTGAATATTTGAACTGGACACCTTGATTAGCATTTAATGGCCTAGCAGTTTCAAGGTCTGGCTTCTTACTGCCTGGGGGAATCCTTTGTTGGGAGGTTATTAGCTGTCCCTGATTGTTTCTTGTCTGGAATTCCCCTGCTTTTGAGTGTTGCTCTTTATTTACTGTCTTGGTTTTAGAGTTTTTTTTAAAAAAAACTGGTAGCCAGATTGTTGTTCATTATCATAGTTTTCTCCTTTCTGTTGAAACTATCCACATGCTTGTGGTTTTCACTCTAGCAACTACCATGTCAGACTAAATAATTAATGCAAATAATAAATAATAGTAAACACTTTCAACAGAAAGGAAGAAACCATGAAAATGAACAAAATCTGGCAACCAGTATTTAAAAACTCTAAAATCTTAACAGTAGATAAAGAACAACACTCAAAAGCAGAGGAATTCCAGACAAGAAACAGAATCAGCTAATCACCTCCCAACAAAGAATTCCCCAGACAGTAAGAGGCCAGACCTTGAAACTGCTAGGACATTAAATGCTAATCAAGGTGGCCAATTGAAACATTCACACCTACCTCAAACAGACAAGAGTTCTTTCTCCCACCCTGACATTCCACAGATATAGAAACCCAATTTTCCTAGTTTCCAACAGACCTCACAACCTCTGAGGATGCCTGCCATAGATGCAGGCGAAATGTCAGGAGAGAATCATAGAGTTGGAAGAGACCTCATGGGCCATCCAGTCCAACCACCTGCCAAGAAGCAGGAAAATTGCATTAAAAGCACCCTCATCCAGCCTCTGTTTAAAAGCCTCCAAAGGAGCTTCCACCACTCCGGGGCAGAGAGTTCCACTGCTGAATGGCTCTCACAGTCAGGAAGTTCTTCCTCATGTTCAGATGGAATCTCCTTCCTTGTAGTTTGAAGCCATTGTTCTGTGTCCTAGTCTCCAAGGAAGCAGAAAACAAGCTTGCTCCCTCCTCCCTGTGGCTTCCTCTCACATATTTATACATGGCTATCATATCTCCTCTCAGCCTTCTCTTCTTTGGGCGAAACATGCCCAGCACTTTAAGCCGCTCCTCATAGCGCTTGTTCTCCAGACCCTTGATCATTTTAGTTGCCCTCCTCTGGACACATTCCAGCTTGTCAATATCTCTCTTCAATTGTGGTGCCCAGAACTGGACACAGTATTCCACGTGTGGTCTAACCAAGACAGAATAGAGCATGGGTAGTATGACTTCCCTGGATTAAAAGGTTATCACTTAAAAGAATTCTGCTCACTCAGTTACTATTTTGCTGCAGGCCACATAAAAGATATTTGCACTCAAACATCAATCAGGGAAAAATGAAGTGATCATTTGTCACATAAAATGCGGTCGTTGATCCTCCAATCCTGCAAGACAATTCCACATAACATATGAAGTATCTCTAGATTTGCAAATGATTCATCGGCCCAGAAAAAAAAGAATATGACTTGCCTTTGGGTTCCACTCTGCTTCATTATCAATGGGTTTCACGCGGCAGACAATGAATTCCACTGCTTGAGGGGGCAGTATCTGAAAATGCTCCGGTAAAGAAAGCAATTGATAATTTTGGACTTGGCCAGTTCTGCCTTCATCTATATACTTGACATCAACACTATAAAACAAACCTTTCCCTTCTTTGGGTGTAACTTGCAACACCTGAACCCTGTAAGGAAGGAAATGGGAAAACTGCAATCACTAAAATTAAACAGATAATTCTGTATGGTTTTTTTTTTTTGCCAGACATTCCTGAGACATTTTGCAAGAGTTCCTGAACATGTGCAATTTCCCCTCCATGTCTCTCTCTGCTAAACAGCCCAAGACAGGTGGCAATTTGATGCTTGTGGTCTCTAGTAACCCCCTGCTTTTTGTGCCTGAGGCTACAATTCCTGGAGCTGCACAATTTCGGAGTTTGTTTCCAAAAGGAACCAAACAAAAAAAAAATTGGAAAAATGAACTATAGGTAACAGCACATTGCTGGATAGGAGTAGAATATTATGTGCATATTAATATAATATTTTGTATATACATATAATATTTATAATACTTAATGTAATACAATATAATATTAATAATAATACAATATTATAATTATATATTTTATATTACAATATAATGGTATAGTACAATATAGTAATATATAATACTGATATTATACTATGCTAATAATTTAATATATTGTATGGATATATATCTTGTAAGCTGCTCTGACTCCCCTTTGGGGTGAGAAGGGCAGCATATAAATGTAATAAATAAATAACACCGGCAGATGATCATGAATTTGTGATTTTATTCTGATGACATGGCTTTTGTAATTGTATGATATTGTATGATCTGTATTTTAATGTATTTTGTATTAATGTATTACGATGCTATTGTGTTTACTATATTTGTGTTGAATTTTCTGCTGTTAGCCGGCCTGAGTCCCTCTTCGGAGGTCGAGAAGACCGGGTTATAAAAGCTCTAAATAAATAAATAAATAAAATAGTACTGGTAAATGGCTTGGAAAAATTCATTTTAAAACAAAAGAATGCTTATCCTCAGCATGTTGTTTTTTGGGGTTTTTTTATTTTATTTTCTGTAAAAGTTGTTCAGGTGCATTTGGTCCCTATTGGAAACAAACTCCACAATTATCTCTGCCTCTATTGGATAATACCCATGATAACAGGCCAGAGGGGCCAAGAGCAATCTTTAAACTCGTAGACCAGGTTAGATAAAGGCAGGGTCAGTGAGGTAGCACCTGTGCACAGCTTCCTCCCATGGCCTCTGATTGGCCCTAGGAGTGCATCTAGGCCAGTGGTTCTCAACATTCCTAATGCTGCGACCTCTTAATACAGTTCCTCATGTTGTGGTGACCCCCCAACCATAAAAAAAAACACATTGCTACTTCATAAATGTAATTTTGCTACTGTTATGAATTGAAAGGTAAATATCTGATATGCAGAATGTATTTTCATTCACTGGACCAAATTTGGCACAAATTCCTGATACGCCCACATTTGAATACTGGTAGGGTTAGGGGGATTGATTTTGTCATTTGGGAGTTGTAGTTGCTGGGATTTATAGGTAACCTACAATCAAAGAGCACTCTGAAGCCAGCCCAAAATGGATCTGAACCAAACTTGACACACTACCTACATGGCTAACATTGAATACTGGTGGGTGGCTATTTTTGAATTCTGGGAGTTGTAGTTCACCAACACTCAGAGAGCACTCTGTACTAAACTGGTGATGGAACTAGTAAACTTGCCACACATACACAACATGCCAAACTTTGAATACTGGTGGGGTTTTGAGGGGACTGACCTCAGAGGTTGGGAGTTATAGTTCACCGACATTGACAGAACAATGTGCACCCAACTGATGAATCTAGACCAAATTTGGCACAAATACCCAATACGGCCAACTTCGAATACTGGAGGGGTTTGGGAGGGGGGCTGAACCAACATAATGGAAATTGTGATGACCCTCACTGATGATGAATCTGAATCAAACTAGCACACACACCCAACGTGGCCAACTGTGAATACAGGCAGGGGTTGGGGTGACTGAAGTTGGCATATGGGAGTTGTAGTTCACCAGCATCCAAAGAGCACTAAACCCAGCTTACGATGGATCTGGACCAAACTTGGCACACAGACCCAACATGGCCAACTGTGAATACTGGCAGGATTTGGGGAAGATTGACCAAAGATTTTGAGAGTTGTAGTTCATCCACATCCTTATGCATTTTCTAATGTGAGCATTAATAAAAAAACAAAAGGAAAGACTGACATTTTTGTAATAAATAGCATTACAAATTACCTAAACTGCTTCTGCTGCTGCTTCTCCTCCCGATGCTGCTGGCCCACTCTCAGTCCCATGTTATGTGGGTGCTTTTCCCCCTGCCTTTAAGGGACTCACTGGCGCAAGCCTCCATTCAGCCTCATGCACTCTCCTTGCTTGCTCATGCGCACCACACTGCCATGCACCAAGCACACCTGCTCTCCCCTCCCTGGAGTCTCAGAAACAGCCCTTTGGCTGAGAGGCTGGACAATCACTGCAGGAGGAGGGCTTTTGGTGGGAGGATTCGCCCTCTGTTTCCAAAAAGGAAGGACAGACGGAGGTATCTTCAACCTTCTCTGCCAAAGGGGTTCTTAAGACCATCAGAAATATATGTTTTCTGATGGTCTTTTGTGACCCCCTCATGCCACCCCCAGGGTCCTGATGCCCAGGCTGAGAAACACTGGTCTAGGCAAAGTATCAGCTTGAAAAGAATCATGGTGCTGGTTTTGAAACAGAGGTTGGGTGGACATCTATCAGGAGGCCTTTGATTGTGTGATTCTCCATGCCAGGTGGTCAGATTGGATGGCCCTTGTGGTTTCTTCCAATTCTGTGATCCTTTCATTTGTGTGAGACCCATAGTACTACTACACTTAAGCAACTATGTTTTAGGCCAGCAACTATGTTTTAGGCCCCCCTGCTCTAGTATTCAATCACAGTGCAAATCTATTCTGAAATATTTATTTATTTGTGTGTGTGTGTGTGTGTGTTTCAAAGTTCTTTCAAGATCAAGCACTAACCTATGAACATAATTTTTCTCATGTAATGCATACAAGGCAAGCTTTTCCACCGAATTAACAGAGATGCAATTACTGCTTTTCTTATAATACTTCTGCATCTCTTCTACTAGAGCAGTATATTGATCCTTTGTTTTATCTACTATGCGGCCAAAGTAGTTTGTGGCGTCCACGATAAACAGAGGCAGGATCTGAAAAAGCAGAAATAAAGTACTGCATGTTTGCAGGAGACAGGCAATGGAAAGTTTCCACTGGATTTAAATGAAAATACACCTCCCCCCCCCACCCCCTCCCCGGCATTAAGAATTCATGATCCCTGAGTGGGCAAAGTGTGAGCTGTGGTCTGCACATGGCTCCCATAGTCATTGCCATGGCCCTCATTGACCACCAACATCATTGGCCAACCACATAGGCTACTGTTCCCCATGTTGTTAAAGATGCTACAAATGCCTTTTTCTAAAACAGGAAGTAAACAGGAAGTGGCTTCTCATACTTTCCTATTGCTGGACAAGGCTTTTTCAATGAGACCAAGCCTAGACAAACTTTGGCCTTCCAAGTGCTTTGGACTTCAACTCCCACAATTTCTAACAGCCTATCAGCTATTAGGAATTGTAGGAATTGAAGTCCAAAACAGCCCGAGGGAGGGCTGAAGTTGGCCCAGGCCTAATGTAGATCCAAAGAACAGCATGGATAAAGGGACCTTAATTTTTCTAGGCTTAACTCCCATGATTTTTTTTTATTGGCAAGACCAGCTCATTTCCAATATCGACATCCCGAAGTCTGGGGAGGAGAATGGGACTTGGCTTATCTCACTTATGTGCCCTGCTTTAAACCAGACCTCCCGCCTCCTTCTTTCTATCCAACTGTACGGTCACCATTGAATGAACAAGGTCTTTTTTTGTTGCATCGGGTGCAACTATCTCAAAGGCTCAGTGACTTATTTATAATATGCGACGTTTATAAAAAAATGAAGCTCTAGTTCCTTCAGTGTTATGGCTAATGGGATAACTCTGTCCACAATTAAGAAGCCCCCGGTGGTGTAATGAGTTATACCCTTGTGCCGGCAGGACTGAAGACCAATAGGTCGGAGGTTTGAATTTGGGGAGACCACAGATGAGCTCCCTCTGTCAGCTCCAGCTCCCCATGCGGGGACATGAGAAAAGCCTCCCACAAGGATGGTAAAATATCAGAACATCCGGGCACCCCCTGTGCAACGTCCTTGCAAACTGCCAATTCTCTTACACCAGAAGCGACTTGCAGTTTATCAAGTCGCTCCTAACACAGAAAAAAATTTAAGAAGCAAAAACTGTCTCATTAACTCACGGTTATGTTTCCAGCTGTTGGTTGAGCACTATCTGCCATTCCTCTGGGGAAATCTACTTGCAAATTAAGTCGGTGTCTATCAGGGCAGCGGTTTTTATCCCTGCAGATTTAAGCAATGGAAGGAAAGGAAAGAGGGAAGGAAAGGAAAAAAGGAAGGAACGAAGGAAAGAGGGAGAGAAGGTTGGCCATAGCAACACGTGGTGGGTACAGCTAGTAACTCAATAAACAGAGCAGCTAGATTTAACAGAATTTCAGAATGTTCTTACTTGCAAAAGCCGTACACTTTCAGGTAGCGACAAAAAGGCTTCCCACTCTTACAATTTTCTTTGGCTTCCAGCACTCCAGATGTAAAGTCACGTAATTCAGGCGGAATATTGGCTTCTGTGCGTTTTAAGTAATCTAATACACCGACAGTATGCCATGCACTATTTTCTGTCAACAGCAATATGGATTTGGCCTTTGGTTGTTCTTTTGCTCGAGGTGAAACCTTCAGAGGAGGAAGAAAACAGAATCCACAATAAAAGCTCTTTTTCTGCAGTTTATTTATTTATTTATTGTGTCAGGGGCAGTTGCAGTTGCAGGGAAGGAATACTTTATGTTAATTCTGGCTCCTTCCTTTTACCTGTCAATCATCCTTACCACCCTATGGAGTGCAGACATGCCCCTCCTTCCAGTGACAGAATGGCAAAGTTCTGGACAAACAAGAACATACCACTAGCAACATAAAACAAAGCACATAAACTAACTAAGGTTACAAAGATTCACAAGCAGGAAGAGATGCTTCGTGATGAGCACCAATGTCCCATTTTTCTACAGTGTGTGGAGGTCCTCCTTCATATTGAACCTCAGGGGCCACAATTGTGCCCCTCCCCTTTTGCCTGATTATGTGAACTTTGGCGGACATGTCCATCCAGACCAACACATGTTTTTTCTTGAAATCCTTCCTGCAAACTATGTAGCGCTAGTTACATGGCCTGTAGTTCCCGCCAGATCATATTGCATATTTTTTTGCTGGGGGGTCACAGGGCTTATATTATCTCTGCTCATTGTGGTGTGCTTCCCATCCCCACAGACCGACATTGGTAGTGACCACTACTCTTCTTGGTTCTCGAATGGGCTAACCCACCCACCCAGAATATTTCGGATGACCACCAACCTGGAGACCACCTCACTCACTGTAGGTGGAATTGGGACATTTAACGAACACTTTATGGCAATCTTGTCTTGAAAGGGAGACATCACCCACAGCAGCTCACATAAGGTGGAATTACCACCATCAATCATAACATCTTGGCCAACACAACTAGCTCAAATGCTGAATGATTCAACACTACCCTTACAAGGGATGACAGGGAAGCTATGTGTTGAATCATGTTAGGATGGCCCCCAAATGTTGGGATGTCTGGACTGGATCCAGCTGCCTCTTCTCTCTGTTGGTCACAAACCCATTAAACTCTGGACAACCCATGGTGGCTCACATGTCCTCCCTAGCTTGCTATGGAGCCACAAGGAGAGGCAGGTGGTAATAATAATAATAATAATAATAATAATAATAATAATAATAATGTATTATTATTATTATTATTATTATTATTGCTCTGAGATGGTAAACAAGCTGGCAGATCACAGAGATACAGATGGAAACAAACACCCCTGTTGAACCTCAGATGAACTAGCAATACTCTTGTTAATACCTAAGGAGAAACCAAGAGATTGGTAGTGATCCTCCGCATTAGCAAGCTTGAGGAGGTTCCTGAGATCAGCATGAGCCAGGATGTGAAAATATACCTCCTGCAGGTTGAGAAATGCCAGATATGTGCCAGGGGTTCTATCAGTCATAAAATTCCCCGATAGAGCGAAAGGGACTCTATTAGTTCAAGTTAAGGAGCTAATTATCTTTAGGTAGTTGTCATGGTCTTCTCCTCAGGAACAAGAATATGCAAACGAAGTTGTTCTTTCCAAAGGGAAGGTTTTACTCTTTAGTTGCAGCAGCAATATATTCTCAAGGAGCCCCCGGTGGTGCAATAGGTTAAACCTTTGTACCAACAGGACTACGGACCAACAGGTCAGTGGTTTGAATCTGGGGAAAACGGGTTGAGGTCCCTCTGTCAGCTCCAGCTCCTCATGCAGGGAAATGAGAGAAGCCTCCCACAAGGATGGTAAAATGTCAAACATCCGGGCATCCCCTGGGCAACATCCTTGCAAACAGCTAATTCTCTCACACCAGAAGCAACCTGCAGTTTCTCAAGTCGCTCCTGACATAAAAAGGATACTCTCTACAATCCTCAAACACACATCAAACCTCATCAACTCTCAACAACTCTTATGAAACTAACACAGGGTTATTACAACCGATATACTACAAACTCAGCACTAGCAACCACACCCCAATTACAATGATACCCTTGGTTACGCCTGAGACACTGATCCTGTTTATCACTTAAAGAAAAGTGATGTAACTTACACATTTTCACAATATCCCTCCCCCCATCTGCTACATACTTGAGCAAAAGATCTTCAGGCAGAACTTTCACTTGGACATAAACTGTTTGACCCAGTGAGATGAGTAATGCTAAATAGAGCATAGAAGAATAATGGCAGCTCTGACTATAGCTGCTGAACCTGAACTCTGGGAGAATTCCAGGGCTATGGCTGCTGAAACCGAAGGAAATGATAAATGAAATAAAATGGAATTAAAGACATCACATGCTTTTTTTCTCACTTAGAAAAGGAGTAGTCTGGAAGAAGGAGTTTTGGAAAATGCAATGACAGAAAATTTCAGGGATAACAAGAGAACGCTCTTGACAGTGAAGCGGACACCTTTGGTAATGCTGGAGAAGAAGTTAAGGACACAGTAATGGATTCACTAAGAGGTTTAATAATGTAGGAAAGGTGAAACACCCCCGCCCCCAAACAAAAAAAAGTTTTTCAGTGTCACACTCTGCAATGATAAACTGTTCACTAGAATTTATACAGACCTTTTCTATAGAGTTTTGGAAGTGATCAGACATGCAGTATAAGCGTGCACCAAAGATTCTTGGAGAGGCAGGAAAACTGAAATGCACGACACACGTTGCATCTGTAACTTCTAAGGCTGGCATGCAGTCATCTGTTAAAACTGGAAAGAATATCAGAAAACGTATCACACAAAAACAAATGTTGTGTCTATCACCTGAAATGACTATTATCCAAGAAGTGGAACAAATACTCATCTGTAACCAACAGTAATCATTAAATACCTTGTAATCTTAGACTTAAAGGTAAAGGCAAAGGTTTCTCCTTGACATTAAGTCTAGTTGTGTCCAACTCTGGGGGTGGTGGTGGTGGTGGTGCTCATCTCTATTTCTAAGCCGAAGAGCCGGTGTTGTCCATAGACGCCTTCAAGGTCATGTGGCCAGTATGACTGCATGGAGTGCTATTACCTTCCCGCCAAAGTGATACCTATTGATCTACTCACATTTGCATGTTTTCAAACTGCTAGACTGGAAGAAGCTGGGGCTAACAGCGGGAGCTCACCCCACTCCCCGGATTTGAATCACCAACCTTTTGGTCAGCAAGTTCAGCAGCTCAGCGGTTTAACCCCGTGCCACCAGGGGCTCAAATCTCAGATGTACAGTGGTGAAATTAAAAGTCACTATGATATTGATGACGACTATATAACAAACACACAAAAACCTCACTTACCCAATACAGCATGCGTGCCAGAACCGAACCTTTTGTTCCACTGCTCTACAACATGATCAAATTGATATCCATTTTCTGGGTGCATTTTCAAGCAAAATACTGACATGCTTTCTACTGCCTGATAACAAAGATAAAAATCAATGAGCTGGTTTTAGTCTCCTTTGTTGAGAGAAAAAGCAGGGTACAAATAAACATAAAACCTAAAAACTTGGCTCTTCCGATGTACCTTCGGTGAGTGAATATATTTCCCATATGCAGTCTGTTCCAACTATTGCTCCGTCCTCATGAGGCACTTTCCCCCCGCCCTTAATGAAGGCCTAACTCTACTGTTCCCATCCTTTTGTGTTCCTCCCTCAGAAACCCATCCTCCCTCCGAAACACATTCTACATATCTCATCCAGAGTTTTATCAATTTTATCAATTTTATTCCTAGTTCATTTGGCCCGCCCACTGTGTTCTATTTCTCTATTATGTTAATTTGTAACTGTTTATTTTATTTTGTTATTTCATGTATTTATTTTGATGGTATTTTTGCTTCTTGTATTTTATTTTGCTGTACTGTAATTTTGGGAATGGCCTCATGTTAGCTGCCCCGAGTCCCCTTTGGGGAGATGGTGGTGGGGAATAAATAAAGTTGTTTTTTATTATTATTATTATTATTATTATTATTATTATTATGACTAAAAAATTACAATTTCTTAAGAATACTGGTGCAGTTGAGGTGCTTTCAAAACAACAACAACAACATATTACTACTATCTTCAGGAATAAAAGATGGAGTTTCTCAAAAAAACAACATAAATAATTCAATATATCTTTCAAATGAAACTTTGCGTTTCTAATTGCATCCTTTTGTTTGCATAGCAAACTGATGGATAACTTTTGGTATCACAAGGATATATTTGCAATACGTGTCACTTTACAGGCAGGCTTATTGGCACTCTTGCCCTACTCATAAAGTAGAGAGAGCCTTTGCTATCTGCTGAGGTTTGATCCCAAGACCACTGTGAGGACAAAAATCTGCAGATGCTCACGTTCAATTATATTCAATGGCAAGTAAAATGGCAAAGACTGTTTAGTGGTGGGGAGAGGAATATTTTCAATTGGTGGATGCAGGATCTGTGGATACAGAGAGCCAAATGGATGTGATATGCTTGGATTATGGGTTTTGCTGTTAAAACCCAAAAGTGCTACGCCCATGGGCTTATCTTGGACTTCAAGCCCTGTGTTATGGCTGCAATGGGTACATTCCATGATGGAACACATACTGTGATGTGTATCTGTGGTAGCAACATACTACTTGAGGGAGAGCTTCTGACACTCTAGAGCAGGGCTTCTTAAACTTTTACTACTCACAACCACCATTTTGTATCAAAGAGCTTTCTAGAAAATTTCAAAACTGACTCCGCAGGTGCAAGAAATGCCATATGTGCGATTTCACAGATACCACGAAGAAGAACCAAAATTGCTATACAAATCAAACATTTACTGAGAATAATTAAAAAAGAAATTCATTTGAAAACATTTTTTTCTCTTGGATTCATGTAAATTGTTTAATACAGTCACTAGGTGGCAAGTCATACAAGTTTTGATGATGCCCAGATTTGGTTAGAGGACCCCAAATGGGGCCACAACCCACAATTTAAAAAGCTTTGCTCAACAGCAGAGGTAAAGAACCTGAAGTCCTGGGGTGATGTGTAGCTATCCTTTTGACCTCCATTCAGCTCCTTGGGATTTGCCAAAGGCCCTATTTTCATCTTCAAGACACAATTTTTTATGGTTCCCCAGATTTTGTATACATTATTCTTTCTTTTTCTATAAAAAAAACCCCCATATATCTTACAAAGCTAGTCAATTCCCATAAAAGAGGCCATATAATAACATATCTGAGAAACTCTCTATTCTTTTAAGAAGACAAAATTACCTTGCAAATATTATCTGTTTCTTCCACAGAACTGGTGAAAATCAATGTCTTCTGAGCATTATGAGGAGTAAAATCCAGTGTTTGAAGTAAAACAGAGATTCGGTTACATTCAAGGGAAACCTGTACCACCTGGAATCATATACAGTGCAAAATGGTCAGATCAAGTCAGAAACTAGAGCTGATGTGGTCTATTCAATGCAATTTTCTGAATCAGAACTCCAGATAACCAAACCAAATCTAAAGCTGACCAAAACTGATTCATAACCCTTTTGATACTAATCATGGAGAGTAATCCCTGGTCAAAATCGTCCCTGGTCAAGTAGTCCCTGATCAAAAAAAAAAAAAAAGATTGGGAACCACTGCCCGAGAAAGACTGTTTTTATTTTTTTCTTTTATTGTGAAATAATTACTCTATTTTATTGCATAATAGTTACACTTTCCCAATTTTTTCATTAAAGGAGGGGGTCGCAAGACTATTACGTAAGGGAAAAAAATCTGCCTTTGATTCTCTGGTTTTTGTGGTTGCTTTTTAAATAAAATACCTAAAGGGGAGGAGGATGAGGGATGATCCAGCCTGAAGCAAACAGTTCTGTTTCTGTTTGTTTGTTTGTTTTTTAAATTGCAGAGCCATTTGGAGCTGATTCTCGCTCCCTTCCTTCTTCCTCCAAAGGCAAGGCAGTTTTAAAACTATGAAATGGAGGTCTCCAAAGTGCCGCTCTTCTCTCCTTTCTCCTTCCTCTGAGGCCTTAAAGCAGTTTACAAAACCTGAAATCGATTTCTCTAGAACTCGGATTTTCCCTCCTTCCTCCAAATAACTCCAGGTTTTGTAAACTGGCTTGCTTAGGAAGAAGGACAGAAGAGAAAAGAGTGGAGCTCTTTGCCTTGCCTTTCGAGAAAGACAGAACAAAGGAAGGAAGGAAGGAAGGAAGGAAGGAAGGAAGGAAGGAAGGAAGGAAGGAAAAATCACTCTCCAAATTTATTTATTTAGTTAGTTTCAAAAGCACTGTGTAAAACAGTTTATCTGGAACTAATAAAATAGTTGATCCAAAACTGATAAAATAAAGGGATCACAAACTTTAGACCAAAACCGGGCAACAGCAACCGCACTGTCTGCAGCTTTACAATTCTTCCTCTGTGCGTAAGGCAGGGCATTGTGGGCAAGCATAAAGATACTGAGGTGTTTGTTCTGCTCCACGGTTGCACAAAGTAGAGGATTCTTCTAGGTAATGCCATTTTGCTAGGCTGTCTTTTGATCTGCCAACTTTGCTTCTGAGTCTGTTCAGGGACTTAACAAGTTGCCCATTCTTGCTTTGCCCCTGGAGGAAGACCCTCGTGAGGGGGCATCCAGGTGGAATTGCCTGATTTTGCTGCCCACAGGGATATTCTTGCTCTTGCTGGAGAAACATTAAGAGGAGTGGTGGTTCTCATGAAACTTTTCCTTGATTTAAGTCAACTGGGAGGAGGCTGATAGCCATATAGTGGGTGGCTTTCACAGTGTTCCACCTTATTTCTTTCACAATTAGCAGCAACTTACCATCGCACATCAGGGGAGGGGGCAGTGCCAGCTAACTTATAGAGTCTATCAACAGGTGTAGGTTGAAGACATCCTGAGATTATTCTACATGTCTCATTTAGTGCTGTTTCGCGTGGGCAGATTTATGCAAGCCTCCAAATGGGGGTATGACTATTATACTGTCGCAACTATTATGAAATGAAATACGCATCATAGTGTATTGGGAACTTCTCAATAGTGTCTGGAAATCATTCTCTGCAACAGTTTCTCTACATTCAGTTCTACTTTCACACTGAGAGACAGGCAAAAGGGGAGAAACTCCAGCTAAAGAGCATTGGCATGTATCCCTCTATAAAAGGAAATCCACCTTTGGCAAAGCATTCTGTGCCACAGATGAGAGAAATTCAAAGATTTTGCCATTGGCCAGGAGGAAAGAAAGCAATATGGATTGGCTGACCCCAAACATTTTAGATAAAGGAGATTCAACTTGTACAATCTTATTTTCAAATAATCTTTTCAATAAATTGTATTCCACATAAGAAATGTTTTTTCTCTTTCAGTGGAAATGCAATTTGGTCAATAAAAGGCACTGGATTTTAGCCTTATGTACCCATCACAATAGAAAATGTCTTATAAAGCTATCTTGATGTCATGTTTAGAATCAACAAAGAAAATACATTTACAAGTTTTTAATTGACTAATGGGATTCCATACATAACCAATCTCAACTTCCAGTCTTAGTATTATTAAGTTGCAATACTAATACTAATAATATTAATAATACTAATAATACTAATAATACTAATAATAATAATAATAATAATAAACCTTTATTTGTACCCCGCTACCATCTCCTGAAGGACATGAGGCCGAGCCCAAAAACAACAATAAAACAACAACAATAATACAGCAAAATAAAGCAAAAACAAGCAATAACATTAACAACACGCAATGATGCAGTTAAAAACTTTTCCCACAGAAGTTCAATAAAAGTAGGAGATCCCCACGTTCCATTCTCATGTCTCAGTGACTGCATGTTCTATGCATTCCCAAAGAAATACAAAATACATGTAATATCAATGAGCCATATAAAATCCAAATTAATTTACCTGCTGTACATTCCCATATATTGCAGCTTCTTCCAAGGATGTGATCACAACATATGGATCATTCATGAACTCTTTAGTTAAATATTCCATTTTTTTGGTCCAGCGACTTCCAATAGCAACAATTTGTTGGGGCACATACTCCTTCACTTCATCATCCAAGCTTTGTTTGTAATGTTTTAAAATATTAAGTACCTACAAAAATGAAATTAACCAGCATTTTTACTTTTTACATTTCTCTAGGTCAGTGTTTTTCAACCTGGGGGTCAGGACCCCTGGGAGGGGGGTCGCGAGGGGGTGTCAGAGGGGTCATCAAAGACCATTAGAAAAACAGTATGTTTTGTTGGTCATGGGAGCTCTATTTGGGATTCTTGGCCCAATTCTATCATTGATAGGGTTCAGAATGCTCTTTGATTGCAGGTGAACTATAAATCCTAGTAACTACGAATCCCAAATGTCAAGGTCTATTTTCCAAAAACTCCACTGGTGTTCACATTTGGGCACATTGAGTATTAATGCCAAGTGTGGTCCAAATCCATCATTGTTTGAGTCTACAGTGCTTCTAGATGTAGGTAAACTACAACTCCAAAACTCAAGATAAAATGCCCACCAAGCCCTTCCAGCATTTTCTATTGTTCATGGGAGTTCTGTGTGCCAAGTCTGGTTCAATTCCATTGACGGTGGAATTCAGAATGTTCTTTGATTGTAACTGAACTATAAATCCCAGCAACTACAACTCCCAAATGACAAAATCACCCCCCCGCCCCAACCCCACCAGTATTCAAATTTGGACATATCGGGTATTTGTGCCAATTTGGTCCAGTGAATGAAAATACATCCTGCATATCAGATATTTCCATTACAATTTATAACAGTAGCAAAACTACACTTATGAAGTAGAAATAGAAATAATGTTATGGTTGGGGATCACCACAACATGAGAGACTGTATAAAGGGATCGCAGCATTAGGAAAGTTGAGAACCACTGCTCTAAGTTGAAACTACACTGATATGGATGACAATTAGACCAACATCTTGCTAAAGAATCTTTTTTTTTTTTTTGAATCAATTCAATCTTGGGTTTCTGGCATAGAACACCTATTTTCTATCTCCACATCAGCTACCTTTTTCTACTGATAGGGCTATGCTCAATTTTAAAGAAAAGGAATCAAGTTTAGCAATGCAGGATGGGTAAAAGGAAACTCATGAAAGTTTACAGATTTGCAATTTTCATCAGTGCTAGCCAGTATACCCCATTTGAGGTCCAACATCTAGAAGGCCGCATTTGACCCAACTCTGCCATATTTATTTAGCGCAGCTCAGCACAACAATTGCTGGATGTTCTTCAGAAGATTTCATACTGAATCACTTTTCTATCATGATAAAATCCCACTTACTTGATCATTAGCTTCAGATAATAGGACTTCAGCTTCATCAAGCACAAGATGACACAGTCTAAGGAACATTAAGCTATGGCACTCAAGTAACCTCAAAAGGCTATACAGGGTTGTTACCATTAATTCACCTATGAAATCAGAAAAAGTTATAATTTTTTCAAAAGTTCATGTTCTTTATTTTCAATTTAAATATTCATAAAAAGCAAAACAAATCTATATACATGTGTATATGCATAAACTGATGCAATACTTCCTAACATCTATAAAATAGGGCCTTCTCAGTGGTGGCCCCTCACCTATGGAACTCCTTCCCCAGTAAAATTAGATCTGCCCCATCCTTCCTGATCTTCACGAAAAAACTGAAAACATAGCTCTGGGATCAGGCTTTCGGCCAGTAATGAGAGTAGTGAAATATGAGACTACAAATTAATATAATGATTACTCGGACTGGCCCTGGAACGCCATTTGATTCACGTGATTTTAATGGATGTTTCAATGCTATGTTTTTAATGGATTTCATTACCTTGGCCTAACAGCACAAACAAAAGTCTTTGAAACAGTTGAAATCCAACTAATGCCTTGATCTCTCCAGCTACTTCAAAGATAACCACCTGAAGCCTAACCCTGCCAAGACACAAATGTGTCCTTAACACCTACGGAATCATGAAGCCAATAGGACGTTGAAAGTTACCTGGGAAGGCCAAGAGCTTGAACAGTTCCGAGCACAATTCAAGGTGCTAGTTTTGACCTACAAAACCATGTACGGTTCCGGTCCAGTGTATCTGTCCGAACGTATCTCCCTCTACGTCCCACCCCGGAATTTGGAATCATCTGACGGGGCCCTGCTCTTGACCCCATTGCTATCCCAAGTGAGGCTGGTGGGGACGAGGAGCAGGGCCTTCTCAGTGGTGGCCCCTCACCTGTGGAACTCACTCCTGGGGGAAATTAGGGCATCAACATCCCTCCTCTCCTTCAGGAGGAAGGTAAAGATGTGGTGACCAGGCCTTCGGGCAATCTGACAACTAGATAAAGACAATTGGACGACTAGGACTGGCAGGACTGACAAAGTGGAATTGGAATTTGGACTATGAGATAGCGAACGCTGAGCGTTAATTAGGTGAAATCGGTTTTATTGTTATGGCTGTAATGCAAGAATTGTTGTTAATTGTTAATTGATGTTATTTGTTTTATTGCTGTTATGTGATGCGGGCATCGAATTGTGCCTTGCTTTTGTAAGCCGCCCTGAGTCCCCTTCGGGGTGAGAAGGGCGGGGTAAAAGTAACTGAAATAAATAAATAAATAAACATTGTTTCCATCCAAAATATCTTGAACACTGCATGAACACCAAGCACAAAGTAGCTGCAAGCAATAACATCCTGCGGAAACTTACTTCCAGCGCATGGGGTGCAGACCCAACATTAATAAGAACATCAGCCCTGGCCTTGACTTACTTGAGTGCCGAGTGTGCCTGCCCTGTTTGGCACAAGTCTGCCCACGCGAAGCAGGTGAACATAGCACTGAACAACACATGCAGAATCATCACAAGAAGTCTCAAACCTCCACCTGTTGACAATCTTTACAAGTGAGCCGTCATTGCTCCCCGTGATGTGCGACAGGAAGTCTATTTATTTGAAACATTTATATTCTGCCCTTCTCACCCCGCAGGGGACTCAGGGCAGAGCACAACATATATACGGCAAACATTCAATGCCGGGACATAAAAGTGTAAATATATACAAAGATTAAAATAACTTATATCCACATTAAAAGTTGCTTAAAACCATCTCAGGACACCATTTTGCCTCATTGCACTGTCCCAAAGGCTTGGCCCACAGCCAGATCTTCACCATCCTTCTGAAGGACAGGACGGAGGGGGCTGATCTAATATTGCCAGGAAGGGAGTTCCATAACTGGGGGGCAATCACTGAGAAGGTCCTGTCTCTCGTTTCTGCCAAACGCGCCTGTGATGGTGATGGGACCGAGAGCAGGGACTCCCCAGAAGATCTTAGTTTTCGCAGTAGTTTGTAAAGGGAGATGCGTTCGGACAGATAAACTGGAGCTGTTAAGTTGCTGCTAACTGTGAGAGAAGTAAGGTCAAGCACTGTTAAAGCCATCCACTGCATGGCTATCAGCCTCCTCCCAGTAGACTCAAATCAAGAAAAAATTTCATGAGCACCACCACTCCTATTACCTCCAGCAACAGCAAGAATTAAACCAGGAAATTCCAGTGGAATGGCCCCCTACAAGGGTCTTCCTCCAGGGGCAAACCAAGAATGGGCAACTTGAAAGTCCCTGAACAGACTCAAAAGTGGAGTGGGCAGATCAAAATACAACCTGGCAAAATGGCACTAAAAGAATCCTCCATCTTGTGAGACTGTGGAGCAGAACAAACAACTCCGCATCTGTATGTTAGTCCACAAAGTCCTGCTTCATGCACAGAGGAAGAATTGTTTGAGGCTATAGACAATGTGGTCGCTTTTGCCCGTTTTTGATCAAAAGATATTTAGCTGCTTGTGCTCCTTCTATTTTTATCAGTTTTATACTAATTTATGCAATGCTTTTGATATGAAATAATAATAATGGGTTTGGTTTTAACGTTTTTGTTTATTTACCGATGTATTAATAGTCCTTGCCCTGCCCTCTTGAATCTGATCATGCCCAACATTTCCTGGTTACTGTTGCTGATGTTGGTTGATGCATTTTTATGATGCTCTTATTCTGCTGGTTTTAATTGTTCAAATTAGATTGTTTATATATTATTATGCTTTAATTGCTTTTTAGTTTATATTCTTATGTTTATACTGGACTTGGTAACCATTTAAGCTTCCCCGAGTCCTTTTGGGGAGATGGTGGTGGGATGTAAAAATAAAGTTGTTGTTGTTATAAGATGACATGTTACGTAACTTACATCCTCTAGGAATTCTCACACTTTTGATTTCTTCTTTCTTCATTCCCACTGTGAGCAATATGGGGTGAAGAGGCCTGGAACAATGAGTGTATTTTTCCACAAACTCAAAGACTAGCTCTGCTTTCCTTTGCCTGGCACATATGATTAATGCGACTGGCTATACAAACACATAAAACACATTATAATACCATCAGAAAAGCTAAGGGGTGTTTCAAACAGATTTTATTTTTAAAAAACATTGTTCAGATGAATATAAACGACTTAAAGATATATACAGAAAACAATCACACTGCATATACTGGGTTGGAGTTCTAGTGGTGCAGCTAGCTTCAGATGAGCTGACAAGCAACTGACTGAGATGACTCCAGTCATCTACTTTTGGTAAGAGGCTACAGCTTTCAACACATCAATTTCTCAGCATTTAAGCAGCTGCATAATTTTAATGGCAGAGAAAAGTAGCTGCTGCTTAACTGGCTTATGATCACTGTGACTCCTATGCTTTTGGATGCAGGATTCAGGGAAATGTCACACAACTCTTCCAACTGAGATGCAATGCGTATCAAAGCACACAAGTCAAATCCCCAAAGCAATTGTAGAAAAAGAGCCACATATTACTACTTAAATCATAGAGTCATAGAGTTGGACAAGACCACAAGGGCCATCTATTCCAACCCCTTTCTGCCAGACAGGAAAAGCACAATCAAAGCATCCTAACAGATGGCCATCCAGTCTTTGTAGTAGTAGTAGTAGGAATGGTAACAGGAGCGATCCCAAAGACCATCCAATCCAACCTCCTTCTGCCATGCAGAAAAAGCACAAAGTACTCCCAACAAATGGCCATCCAGCCTCAGTTTTTTTCTGCCTTAAGGAAGGAGCCTTCTCCAGACTCAAAAGGCAGAGAGTTCCACTGTTGAACAGCTCTTCTTACAGTCAAGAAGTTCTTATTAATGTTCAAGTGGAATTTCCCTTCTTGTAATTTGACCCATTGCTCCAATTCCTAGTTTCCAAGCCTGCTTCCTTTTTCTTAGGACAGCCTTTCACATATTTGTACATGGCAGCCTAAACTTTGCTATCAAAATGAAGGGAACCTTTGAATACAGGCTGAATATTACACTTACGCCATTCCTAGCTGGTAATGATAGGTAGCAATTCTTTGACTGCAGAAATGTTATAATTGGCAGAAGATATATAAGTGGATCATTTTCAGGACAGATGACGACTGAGTCATAGCCACGGGCTATTGCTCGCCAGGAATAAGACTGGACATGATTAGGGCCCACAAATTTGTTCTTCAGGAGTTCCTGTAGAAACAAAGGCATCTCTATGTTAAAATATAGCTACATTTGCTTATAAGAAAAATCAAAGGAAAAATTGCAATCTAACCAAACTACAGTGTGCACACAAGCAGAGCTTTCTTGTTAACAAGGCGTCTGACTCTTCAGAAATGAAAACTTTGCTGCCAAAACTCTCTTGTACAATAACTCTGTTCCTACTTGATGTGTGTAAAGTTCACTGGATATTTGAACATAATGTGCCCAAAGTTACAAAGGTTTTGGGAAGCAGTCAGAATTTAGATAAGCTAAATAATAGGAGGAAAAGTACACTTCATCTGAAATATTAAAATACAAAAGGAACACTGGAAAAAAGAGAAATAAAAGAGAAGTTTTTCAAGGTTATTTGGAAACCATTTATGAGCTCTAAGTGCCGAAGCAATAGAAAACGTAAACTATCCTTAGATCAAGTGAGATTTTGGATAAATGACTACAGGAAGATATGACTATTATGTTGGGTGAGTGGGCTTATTAACAAAAAACCCTCCTCATAAATGTACAGCAGAGTAACTTAGCAGCAGTAGAGTGACCCAGCACCAGTAGCCCAAAATGATAGAAAGAACAAAAATACACAGACCAATGTTATCTCTTCCATAGGAGGCTTTTCTTTATAGCAAAATAATATGGTTGCACTATTTATACAAGAACAAGGCTTCCATGACACAAATGAAGTTCAACCTGGAGCTTCTCACACGAGGCCTTCTCATACCAAGGCCTACCTCACACTGTGAGGCCTCATAACACTAAGGCATATTCTTCCACAGTGAGGCCTACTTCCAATGAGGCCTGTTCTCACACTGAGGCGTTCTCTCACACAGAGAGGCTTCGCTCACACACTAAGGCCTACTTCACACTGTGAGGACTTTTCACAGACTGAGACCTTTCTTCCACTGAGGTTTATCTTAGACTGACTGCTACTAAGCTACAGGCACACCTGCTTACATAGAACCACAGCTTTTGTATCCACCTTAGTAGATGAACCCCTTTGGAATAAATGACGTACACAAACCAGTAACAACTTATAGCTGCCATCACAAATGGAATTATCACACATGGATTTCTGGAGTAAAAGAGTTAAAAATCCATTAGCAATGCAAATCTCATGTGTGCACTAGCATACTAAAATAAATTAATGCTACCTGTCTTAATCAAGATAGTCAGCTTGCATACTAATTATAAAGTTTAAAGCTAAATGCACATCCATTCAAAAATAGAATGAAAAATATAACAAGCTTTGTTGTTCAGCAGCAACAAAGTCCACAAAAGTCAACATTGACACTGAAATACAACAGACTGAGCTCTGCGAGTGCAGCATTTTTCTGAACGAAGCAGAGAGTGTTTGAGGACCGGGACATCCGTAGGGAGACTAAGGTGCTTGTTTATAAAGCTACTGCTCTCCCAACCCTGTGAAACGTGTATTGTCTACAGACATCACACTCAACTCCTGGAACTATTCTATCAGCGTTGCCTCTAGAAAATCCTGCAAATTTCTTGGGAAGACAAGTGGACAAATATCAGTGTGCTGGAAGAAGCAAAAATCACCAGCATTGAAGCGATGCTGCTATGCCATCAACTCCACTGGACTGGTCACATTGTCCGAATGCCCGATCACCATCTCCCAAAACAATTACTCTACTCCCAACTCAAAAATGGAAAACAGAATGTTGGTGGGCAGGAAAATAAATTTAAAGGATGTGCTTAAAGCTAAATTTAAAAACTGTGGCATAGACACAGAGAACTAGGAAGCCCTGGCCCTTGAGCGCTCTAGCTGGAGATTAGCTGTGACCAGCAGAGCTGTGGAATCGAAGAGGCACTAATTGAAAGTGAAAGGGAGAAACGTGCCAAGACAAAGGCATGTCAAGCCAACCCTGACCGGAACCGCCTTCCACCTGGAAACCAATGTCCTCACTGTGGAAGAATATGTGGGTCAAGAATACGGTTTTAC